CTGGGTAATATATGGCTGTGAGTGATGTGATACTGGGTGATATGTGGCTGTGAGTGATGTGACACTGGGTAATATATGGCTGTGAGTGATGTGATACTGGGTGATATGTGGCTGTGAGTGATGTGACACTGGGTAATATATGGCTGTGAGTGATGTGATACTGGGTGATATGTGGCTGTGAGTGATGTGACACTGGGTGATATGTGGCTGTGAGTGATGTGACACTGGGTGATATGTGGCTGTGAGTGATGTGACACTGGGTTATATGTGGCTGTGAGTGATGTGACACTGGGTAATATATGGCTGTGAGTGATGTGATACTGGGTGATATGTGGCTGTGAGTGATGTGACACTGGGTGATATATGGCTGTGAGTGATGTGATACTGGGTGATATGTGGCTGTGAGTGATGTGACACTGGGTTATATGTGGCTGTGAGTGATGTGACACTGGGTGATATATGGCTATAAATGATGTGACACTGGGTAATATATGGCTGTGAGTGATGTGATACTGGGTGATATGTGGCTGTGAGTGATGTGATACTGGGTTACATGTGGCTGTGAGTGATGTGACACTGGGTTACATGTGGCTGTGAGTGATGTGACACTGGGTAATATATGGCTGTGAGTGATGTGATACTGGGTGATATGTGGCTGTGAGTGATGTGATACTGGGTGATATGTGGCTGTGAGTGATGTGACACTGGGTGATATATGGCTATAAATGATGTGACACTGGGTAATATATGGCTGTGAGTGATGTGATACTCGGTGATATGTGGCTGTGAGTGATCTGATACTGGGTGATATGTAGCTACGAGTGATGTGACACTGGGTGATATGTAGCTGCGAGTGATGTGACACCGATTGCTATGTGGCTGTGAGTGATGTGATACTGATGATATGTGCCTGTGAGTGATATCACACTGGGTGTAATGTGGCTGTGAGTGATGTGACCCTGGGTGATACGTGGCTGTGAGTGATGTGACACTGGGTGATATGTGGCTGTGAGTGATGTGACACTGAGTAATATCATACAGAACAGGATACAATAAGTATCCCAGTTCAGCACATGGCTGTGGTTAACTCCCACTCCTAGTATGCATGACCAGTTTAAGACAGCAGTTTCCTCATAGTCCAATTTTCAATCCCCATAGCAGATCTATCCCCTCTCTGTCCCAATCCCCTCCTGTACCCATCCATCCATCCTCCCTCCCCTCTCTCCTCCCCTCTCACCTGAGACCGTCTCTTCATCCAACTCTTCTTCATGTCTGGGGATGGATGGAGGAGCAGTGCAGACAGGCAGGCAGCAGCTCCCCTCTGGTAGCAGGGGTACCCAGAGGTAGAGGCAGAGAGGGAGCAAGCAGTGTGACTCCCAGTATTCGGTGGGAGAGATGTCAGTGACTGAGCTGCTGCCACTCCCAGAGCCTGAGCCCAGCCACGGATACAATGCTGAGAGAGCCAGGGGAGGGAGGGAGAGGAGGAGGCAGTGAGTGAGGGAGGAGAGATCGCCAGTGAGTGGCTCCACACAGCACAGGGCTCATTGAATTGCTACAATGTGTCTGCCAATGAGCTCCTCACTCACAGCATCCCTGACTGTGCCCATAGTATCAGTAACTGCTCAGCAACCTACAGTACCAGCAATCACTAAACTGGATCTCAGAACCAGCAATCACTAAACTGGATCTCAGGACCAGCAATCACTAAACTGGATCTCAGAACCAGCAATCACTAAACTGGATCTCAGAACCAGCAATCACTAAACTGGATCTC